CCTCAGAGGCCTTATCAAATCAAAATTGGCAAAGAAAACATACAAAATCCTGTGAGGCTAGGGTACAAAGGCAAGGCCTCCCTAGTGCAATTTCAGACAGTTTGGGCCCATCATATAGGAACACCGATCTACATTTGCCATTTCTTGCATTTGTCGAGTGCTGCCATCAAGTACATGTCATGATAGACTGAGTTGCTCGGACTCTAAATACTAAATTTGGTCATGGTCAGTACAATTTTTCATTGCCGTATGTATGACTAAATGTAAAACAGTATATACAGTCCGAGTTACTCAGACTAATACCATGACATGTGATTTGTGCATGACAAATTAAGGGTAAATGTAAGCAGATGTTTTGATTCTATGTTTTGCATATTGGAGTGCTGGTATATAACTTCTTAGAACCTCTCCTCCACCCAGGTTTACGAGGGTGAATACTAAGAATGTGAGCATCTTGTTTTTCTGAAGGTGTTCCTGTGGCAAGTGTGTGCCAATGGAGGATGTTGCAAACTGCTTCTGTTTCACTGAGCCAAGGTGAGCCAAGGGATTTTGTCAGTTTTGAAGGAGAAGGTCGTTGTTTTACAGAACACCCATACTACCATGGGACATGCCTCAATCCAGGAACCCTTCAAACTGTGTACTTCTTGTATCGCCAACACTATGGACAAAGGGCAGTTGAAGGGACCAGAGGGCAGTGTCAGTTTAAAGTTTCCTGTTCAAACTGAAAAATCACTTTGTAGGCAGAATATGAACAACACTCACGATAATGGGAAGTTTGAACATGTACACAGAAGACACTCCATCTGTTTGCATTTGTTACTGATCTATTTATTACAAGTAAATACCCTAAGTAATAAAGACATTGCTGTGGCTTAAGCATGTCAGTGACATACACGTACCAAAGTTCAAATCTTTTCACACAATAGACCTTCCTTTCCTTTCTCCACAGATGCCAACCTCTTGACACCAAAAAACAGACTGAATATCCTAAAAAATCAGATTTTCAAAAAAACTTGATACTACTACTTACCGGTTGGCCCCGGGGCAGTAAAAATGTTAGAAAATTGTTTCACGGGTAAGAACGGGCAAGTAAAATGTATGCTCTTTCATGTAATGAGAAAATTGTGAAGCATAAGTAATAATTCTTATGATGCAAAAGAAGTGTTTAAATGCACAGTGAAAAAATGGTACAACTTAAATTGCTGGTATATTTTGGGCCAATAAGAATTTGGTTGAAGCCAGAAGTGAGAAAAATTATTGTATAGACTTGCATTGCACTCATGGAAATATGAGCCACATTCCTGTTAGCTGTAAAAAATCAATTAATAGAAAAACAAGTGTAGGCCCTATTTAAAAAAATCAAATGAGTTGCAATATGTGACGAGATTTTTGATAAATTTTTTACGATTTGATTAATAATGAAATGTCTCCGGAAAGTATTAGTAAGTTATTAACACATGAAAGAACATCCAATGACCAAAAATAACTCACCAAGTCAGATCACTCCACAGAAAATATTTCGTAGTAATAATAAATGTCCTCATCAGTCTCATGAAATTTCAATGTAAGTTTATTTCTTTCAGTCATTTTCCTATTGAGGCATAACACTATCAAATTTCACATCACTGTCTGCAGCAAGTGGTCACTTGCTCATTTGCTGATTTCAGTGTTTATTTCCTGTATGTTGTAGCAGCCTGTTTGCAGTCAGTCTCACGAAATTTCAATGTAAGTTTATTTCTTTCAGTCATTTTCCTATTGAGGCATAACACTATCAAATTTCACATCACTGTCCGCAGCAAGTGGTCACTTGCTCATTTGCTGATTTCAGTGTTTATTTCTGGTTGTATGTTGTTTGTTGTTTGCATTTGTGCAACAGTTTGTCATCAAAGTCTCTGCTCTTATGACTGATAAATTTGCTGTTTAAACATTGTGACAATGCTAGCAGTGCCTCCGCGGTGGCATTACGATGCTTGATCCTGCCCATGTGCAGTTGTATACATTGTTGACCCTCCATGGGCAATGCTGAAATCGCTACCACAAATTACCTACTTCACGGCATGATTGTCCTTTTTAGATGGCACAATACAAGGCCACTTTTCTGTGTATTCCTTTTTGTATGACTGCTTTCTAGCCATTGATATTGAGGTCAAAGTTCGTTTGACATTATTGAGCTTGATGTGACCAACGTTGTTTATACGACATATCTGCGCATGGCAACATAATCATGTGCACACACATGATGGATTGCTGCATAGTCGACTCTACCACACACAGGAACAGAGTAATCCAAATATGGTGTGGCATTACACATTCATTAGTATCTGTCTGATCAGCGCGTTAAGAAATGACATCATGAAATTTCTGTTTACTTCTGGGTGTGTGTAACTCCAGGGCAAATGACCTCTTTATTCCAACAAGAAAATAAATATTTATGATCAGTAACAAAAAGAAAATTTGCTCAAGATCACATTGGGCTGGGCCTCATTTACGCATAAAACATGTACCCTGTACATGTAGTGGTGGTTGCGAAAGCTTGCAGTCGCCATAATGTACACGTACAGAGCCATACAGTTCCACAGCTAGCTGCTGGATCCGTTCTGCGAGGTATTGACGAACATGCATGTTTCGATATTGCATTACTGCCGATTCCACGCTACCACCGTTGTTGTCAGGATTGTGGGGATATTTCCATGCAATTCCGCTGTTTATATTGTGTTGTTTTTTTTCTTGAAAGATGAAAAGTCATATTTTCAAGAGGCCATATCATATTATCGCAGTCAGTCTGCAGCGCCCTCGTTAATGAGGCCGAGTCCTGCAATTTCTTTGCACAATGCTGTGGGGGGTTTGAGCAATGAGAGTTGCACATGGAAAAGCATGAGTTCTACCAATCTATTTGTCTGAACTACACATTGAAAAGTATTTAGCTGGCAGCCAAGATGGCGTGGTAAGTGGAAAGAACACGTTTTTCTGCGTCAAATGGTATCAAATATGTTGACATTGTCTATTTTTCGTCGACATTTTCACCTTGAAAGATTGGTTGTGATTTCAGAGAAGAAATACGATGTATTTTTTGCAGCTGTGCCCTGACCCAGCTGGAAAAATATACCAAAAACAGTCACTACAGATCGAAGGAATAGGCTACGATCCTCCATTTGACTAACAACTGGAAATGTGGCGATGAGACATGTGTTTAATATGCGATATTTTTGTGTGCGAGATTTCATCCGTTATGGGTTAAACTGGATTGTCATG